AAAAAACTTGGAAATGTCATCTAAATGCTGAGCTAGTATCGGGTTGCTGTATCCTGATATATGTCGTGTTTTTTGGAAAGCAATACTTTAATGACTCATTAAGTCATAAAGGAAGAGTTAACCCAAAAATATAAAAATAAATGGTTATCATTTACTCAACCTCACGCTGTGCCAAACCTGAAGAAGGTATGTCTCAGTGTTTTGGTCCCCAATGTCACTCATTGTATAGACATTGTATGAATTTTTCTAATTGTATTTTTAATGTGTTTTTATTGTGTTTCTTTGTTGGAATGCACAATTTGGACAAAAAAAAGTTTTATAAAAATGGCTCATGGAATTATTATATATATTATTTTTTGGAAAAAAATCTGTAATATTACAATTGCTTAATTTCTTATTTTTTGTGTGTTCCATAAAATGAAGAAAGTCATATAGGTTTTGAACAGCATGAGGGTGAGTAAATAATGACACAATTTTAATTTTTTGGGGTAAACCATCCCTTTTAAATGTCACAACAGTGTCTTTCTGATTGTGTCTCGATAGGTTTCAGTCATCGTTTCGCAGGTTAGCTGTTCCTGAAACCACATCTTCAAAGACTTTTTCATAGTCATTTGTTGTGAGTTATCATTTTATTGAGTCATTCCCCATCTCTTTTCATCGTTCCTTCTTGCTCTGTTCTCTCATCCTGTCTTCAGGCGGCCACATTCACACGCATAAATAAAAGACAACACTAATGATTGCCTTCCAGTGGGTTTCTCTCCCTGTCCTCTCACTAGGTGTTCCCGCTTTGGCTTGTGTTCCTTTCTAATGCAGACCAGACAGGCCTGGCTGGTGTGTGTGCTGATAGATTATTGGGTCTAATGTGGCTCAGAGTGTGTCAGCAACGACTTTCCCACGTTGCACAAAGGGGCCTCCTACGAGCCGGGGCCGCAGCCACTCTCCCTGCACCTGTAACCAGAAAATTGACCGCCCCAACATCCTGGCTGGGTCCCATGTTGCACTTGGCATTTCCTCCAAGCGTCTGGGACCACGCTTGACATGCAAGGGCAGGCTCCGCCTCCCTCAGAGGGGCTGTGGTCAGCCGAGCGCAGAACCCCTTGGAATTCTGGGAGAGAAATGCTGAATCACTGTTGGAGCAGACAGGGGACATGCAGGATGGCTGGCGCAGAGATGTGGCTCCGAACGCACATGTGCTGGAATGATTGTACACCCATTAAAAAACCATAGACAAAACCTCCCACTCAGTTTGAGGAATCAGGGAAGGAATTACCATAAAATACCGGTAGACACATTTATGATGCAGAACTGAAACAACAACAACAACAACACAAACGTATGCTACACATTTAATTTTATTCCATATTATATAAATAAAACTTAAATGAAAAAATTGTCTTGGCAACTATCTGAAATAAAATAAGTTTAAGTTAAAGTATACGAAAACTAAAATAAAAAATACATTTAAGCTAAACAGAAATAATAAAAATAAACCTAATACAAACGACATAAAAAATTCACTAAAATTTTAACTAAAATTAATAATACTAAATATAACTAAAGTAATACCAGTGCCAAAATAGTGTTTGTAAAATCAACATCTTGGTTATCTAATGCTTTTTATTACCATACAAGTTATAAAAAGCTTTTTTAATCTGTTTAGTCTTCCCCCCCATCACATATGTTTATCGTCAGAAATTATATGTTATTAATGAATGAGTGCTTTCACTTTTGCATTCCTGAATTGCAACCATTTGAGTCAGATCTATGCTCAAAAAAGTGGGTGAAAGTTAACAGGTAAAATATAATTTAAGTTTAAAATTAGTTACAATTTTTTCATCTAAAATTATTATTTATCATAATTAATTATACAATTATTATTTTATGTTCAACACTGTAAAAATGAATATGCTTTATCTGATCAATAAAATTGTGGCGACAGATTACAAGCAATATTATTTATTAAATTGAACAAATTAGAATTGAGTAATAGTTAATCAAATTAATATTGTAATTAATTCTAATTTGTACAATTTAATTAATAATATTGCTTGTAATATGTTGCCACAATTTTATTGATTAGATAAAGCATATTATTTTTTTCAGTGAACATATGCTTTTATTTACTGCACTTTTACAGAACATATTTAACATATAAGGTTTTTGCTGAGCTTATTATTTTCTGAATTAAATACAGATATATTTAATGTCTTAGAGTCCCACATTCATGATTTATATGGTTGTACTAGTTACTCAGCCATTGTGGAATTATTATGATATAATTTTATTGGGCGGGGATATAGTTCTGCGTTTCATTATCATGCATGTAACACTATCTTTTCTTCTTTCCTGGTGGCTTTGGCATGCCCTTTGATTTCAACATCTCCCAGATGGCTTCAATTGGTATCAAATCTAATATCACAAGCCCTACAATGAAATGGAAGTTCTCTATTAGCTGAAACTAAATAACTGGAACATTTACGGATAAGTATATGTAGATCAAATGACCCTTAGTTTAGTATGATTCAGAACACTGCACATGTCTGTTTCAGTTTTAGACTTTTTTTTCCTCTTTTCAAGTTACTACTAACTTTACCCCCCTTAGAAGCTGCGCGGAGTGTACACAACACACAAAACACAATATGACCTCTGATATGGCCAATGACCTCTCTACGTCACGATGTAACAGCTAATGACTCGTTTCAAAAAACAATTCATTTCATAGACTCAGAGTCGACTCTCACTTTTGAAAGACAATATTGTGCATGCTACAGAAAACATAACAGCAAACATTATTAATATTACTTACAGTTTGTGATTTAGAGTAGGACGAACCTGATCCGTATACACTGGATTGCAAATACTACTCGTTGCAAATATGAACTCTGACCACTGATTCTTCACATGCTCGTCCCTGGACAATGGAAACAAGTGGCTGAACTGTCTTTGCAATGTAGAACACAGCATCTTCTCGACATGATGCGATTCAGCTGAAGTATTTGAATGTGTTCTAGACGTCGCTTCAAGTCTGCGCGCGCAGTTGTTGGGAGCGGCCAATGACCTCTCTATGTCACGATGTAACAGCTAATGACTCGTTTCAAAAACAATTAATTTCATAGACTCAGAGTCGACACTTTTGAAAGACGATAACTTTATATACGGTGCACTTTCAAATATAAATCTTTGCAGGATGTTTTCATTCCCTTAGAGCTATATTCCACACTACATGAACAGTCATTTTCAAAAATCCATGATAGGGGCTCTTTAAGATATTCCCGCTGTCATGAAATACGTGACAGCTCGTGAAAGTGAACAGTTGTCCATCTCTTTTGCTTCAAGGAGAACTCCGGCGCAAAATAAACCTTTGGTCTAATTGGTACCTAGTCGACCGTTCTCTTAGATTTGTTTTCATGGTTTTATTTCTAAAAACTGTTTAGCGTATAACGCTAGTAATGGGGGCATTTAATAAGTAAAAAAGAAATCGTTAGTTAATACCACTAACAAGGCTCAAAATAGCCCCACACTAACATAATGAGGGTCCATACATGCAAAACGAAGCATTGAGAACTTTGAGTGTATAGACCGTTTAATATAAGATATTTTATAAAGATTATTTATATTATATATTTTATACAGGTGGCGCCATCTTTGGTAAACAGTCTCGACAAGTCAAACCACGAACGTCGTGCCAAGTAAACTGAACTGTATGATGTTCAGCGAACTTCTGAACTGTTTGAACGTCTTTTGTGGTTCGACTTGTCGAGACTGTTTTCCAAAGATGGCGCCGCCTGTATACACGAAGTGAACTGTCTTTATAACGTATCTTCTGATTAAATGGTCTGTACACTTACAAAGTTCTCAATGCTTCGTTTTGTATTTAGGGACCCACATTATGTTACTGTGTTAGTGTGGGGCTATTTTGAGCCTTGTTAGTGGTATAAACTAGCGATTTCTTTTTAATTATTATATGCCCCCATTTACTAGCATTATATGCTAAACAGTTTTTAGAGATTAAACTCTTTACATTCGATTATCATGAAAACAAATCTCAGAGAGCGGTTGACTAGGTACCCATGTTTTATTTAGACCAAAGGTTGATTTTGCGCCGGAGTTCTCCTTTAATTTTAATAAAGGGATCACCTTATTTAAGCAGTAGTATTTTTATTGGCATATTAAAAAGAATCTTAACATTGACAGCATAGGCTACTCATAAATAGACATGGTAAAATAAAAAAAGATATAAACTTTTATGAAAATAATGTCTATAATAATATGAAAGAAATGTTTAATAGGCTGTGACATTTGTTTGTGATGTAATGTTGTATTTATTGTGCTTTGGTCTTTAATCACTATTTGCTTATATGGTCTGTTAAGCAGCAAGATCGCAGCACATCTCAATTTACCTTTGGCTAAGCCACCCCCTAGAATGTAGATTGACCATTCACAGCGCAGCCAAGAACGAGCTACCACAGAGGTCGGACACTTTCACAGCGCTCCATTGACTTTCAACACAGGCTTCTCTTATATTTGGTCTCGGCAGGCTATTACCGTCGTAGATTTATCAAAAATATGGTTAAACGTTTTGCCTCGGGCATTTGTAATACGCGTTTCCCAGAGAGGTTGGAGGGGGGTGTCCGTTTTTTCCCTTCCCAAAACCAAAGTCAAATCCTGACAAGTGTCGTCTTTGGATTAACGTGTGGATGCTACTGAGTTGTGATTGGCTGATAAGATATTTGCATTAATTGAACAGGTGTAGCATACCTAATAAATTGGCTGGTGAGTATATTTCACAGCCTTGCTGATGCTGATCATTCTTTCACTCAGAAATGCATCAGATTATTGTAAAAGCAAAAAGGGTTGAGAACAGTTGACTTTAGCAAGATTTTACTTCCATGTTGTGATGTATTTCTAAGTGTCCAACACATGTTGACCTCGTTCATGACTGCTGTTGATGCATTTTTAATCCCCCAAATGCTGATAAGAGCTAAAAGCGTGAGAGCGTGATGATTTTGGAAAGCAGCAGCTACTTTTTAGCACAATTTGGTCCCCAGACGCTACAGAGGAGTGTGAATGGGTTCTCCCCAGCGAGGGAAGGGGGAGAGCTGACGCTAGGTCAGTCGGTACCGTTCCTCATAAAGGCCTTAAAGTGCAAACAGACCCTTAAATCTGCCCACTGAACAGCGGCCTGACAGCCCTGCATGGGTGAGCCAAAGTTAAGATAAAGAAAGCTGGATATATGTGAAGCTGCTTTTGTTCCGTGCTCCTTCGCTTGGAGCCAATGGGAGTCATTATTTCACCAACTCATTGTTATGTCATTGACCCCATGGAAGAAGGGCCCTTTAATTTCACCATTTATTACTCTACCAATATTGTTCGGGTTCCACCTCGGAAATAAATCTGCCTTTTCTCTAGTTGTTTTAAAGCTTTGCACACCACTCCCATCAGCCTTTGTGTCTTTAGACACTTACTTCATTGGAGCTCTGTGACAGCGGAATGAAGCGGGTACATAATAATGTACGATATGACTGCGTGTGTAGCAAGAATGGGTCACGATGCTCATCTAGACTTCAGTTCAGTCAATTCAGAAGGATGTCCTCGACTGTTGCCTCATGCTGTTTTTTTAATACTGGAAATGTACCGGCCAATTTTATTTATTTAATTAACTTATTAAATAAATAACTTCCCCCATTTTTACATTTATAGTACCTTTGCCATCATCTGCACTCACCTAAAGTAAACCAATTATTTAATTACATGGACAAATGTGATCTTTAGCAAATCTCAAAATAAATGTCAATTTTTCATTCTGAATATCCACTTTTACAGGGAAAAAACTTTTAAATGTGTAATTTTAGTGAGTTTCAAGGGATACAATTATTGATTACAGGGGGACTTAAAAAGATCGAAATCTCAATTCAAACATCCACATGATCTTATTCCTAGATGGCAATGATTTGTCTGTTTATTAAGCCTTTGACAAGTGTGATAACAGTGGAATATTAAAATCTGCGTTGGCACTGCCGCTGAATCAGAGAGAGAAGTTTTTGTGTTTTGATCACAGAAGTACTTGTACAGTAGGTGGTGACAAGTTAAACAATGCATTTGTTGTTGAATCATTAATTTAAGCGATTCGATCAAAAGCGCTTATTCGTTGAATCACATTTTGATGAAACAAGTCATTGAATCATTCATACAAACTAGTGTTGTCAAAAAACTCGGTACTTCGGTACCAAGTCGGTACTAAAAAAAAAAAAATGTTACGGTACCAGCTTTTTTCTAGGTACCGAGTACCAGGTTAATCCAGTTCTGTTCTAGACGCGATGTCTGAAACGTGCACAGTTGCGTCCTCTTCATAACGCTGATATGGCTCTCTCTCTCTGAATCCACTTGTTGACACAAAAGGAGGAAAGAGCCACATATGGAAATATTTTGGATTAGGCTAATGTCACGTTGCCATAAGAGGCCGATTACATGCAAATTCGCAATTTCAAATATAGGCGCGATTCAAGCGCGCTCCTAATAAAAACTCGTTGGCGTTGCATAGCAACGACAGACGCCGCGTGAGAGCAAGCGCTTTGGAAAGAATAAGCACGCGCAAAAATATAATTAAAAAACACGCGCGACATGTGAACGGCCTCTAAAGTGCTTTCGGGGTAGTTTTACGAGTACATGAGCACAGTAGTATCCACCCGACACCAGAGTACTACTGGTATTAGTATTGTCATTTAATGTCAGTGCCAGTTCTAGGCGTATTCTTGCCTTTATAACTCAGCAGGTTTAAAAAGCCTTTTTAAAATTAAATATGAATGCAGTTTTAGATTAATAAAAGGACAGTCAAGTCAAATAAAACATGTTTTATGGTAATGCTACAAAGATACCATTCATAAACATTACTTAGTTATCAACACATTGAGTGAACAATATATTTTTACAACATTAATTAATGTTTGAAAATGTTATTTATTACAAACACCTGATTGTTCATGTTTGTTCACTTAATTCATTGTGCATTAAATAAATAATGGATTAAAACTTTACAAACAACTTTAAAAATGTGTTAGTGTATACTATTGTTTATTTTAGGTCATTTTATCTAATCTTTTTCTAAAGTGTTTATAATACAAATGTACAGTTTCCATACTTGTAACCGTGATAAACACTTAAATATATGTAAATTTAAACTAAGCTTTGGTACCGAAATTGGTACCGAGAACCGTGAATTTTAACTGGTATCGGTACCGAATACTGAAATTTTGGTACCGTGACAACACTAATACAAACTGTCACTTTTTTGTCTCAAAATTTAAAACATTTATATAAGCGAGTGCATCATGAATCCATCTTCCAAACCATGATTTTGTCTTATTATGAATCATTACGGTATGCCTATAATACGTGTATATATTCAGACTAGTTTAGATTGAGTGGAACAACGAGTTGCCCAGTTCATGTGTGACTCGTCATTTACATAAACAGAGAGAAGTAGATCCGGCTACAATGTTCTTCTGCATGCAGTTTTGTTTATTAACTGCTAGCGCCAAAAGTTACATAGTGTACCTTAAAATAATTCAACTAAAATACTGTTTTGTCAAAACAGTAAATTACGTGTTATTTTGTTTAGTTGTCTATTCAGGATCGTGGGAGAATCTATTTTAAGCGAAACCAATCATAATTCTCAATTTATTCAGGATCGTGCAGCTCTACTGCAAACTTATTAAGGTCTGTTATCTATTTTAACAAATTGTTTTTGGTATATTTATCCATATACAGTGCGAGGATTAGGATTTTGAATAATTAAAACTAAGAAATATTCTGTTTATAAATAACATTGATTTTTTTCTCTTTCTAATAAAACATTTTCATTTTAACAGATTTTTATTTTAAAAAAAGTAAAAAAAAAAATGTAAATAAAACATTCAAAGTAGGATAAGTTTTACAAGTGTTATAAGGTCGTCAGGCCTTTTAATGTATTTAGACAAAATCGTATGGAATTTTAATGATAGATTGTATATATACCATTTATTGATCAATGGCCATGGCTGGAATTTTAATAGTGCGGCACCTTTGATATTTGCCTTGATAGCATGACCAGGAAAAGAAATCCTTATTTTATTTAGCTTGTTCCTTTTCGTCACAAGTCGTGTTTTTCCTGTCATTCCTCCCAATTAGCAACTGGCATGTTTAATTCAATTCCTGGTTGCTTTCTGTCATTTCCATTATAAAGCTTGCACAGTAATAAAACTGCCAAGTTTCGATAAGATAATCCTCTTATAAATCAAAGGCCTTTTTTCCCCTTTTACCTGTTTTTTTTTTTCTCTTTCACTCAACCTTTCCTTCTCTGTCTCTTGGCTCTCTCCCAAACCTAGGTACCATTACCCAGTGCCTAAGGTATTTTATGTGCAGCTGACAGTGGGGAGCAACGAGTTTATCGGAGAGGGGCGGACTCGCCAAGCTGCCCGACACAATGCGGCCATGAAAGCCCTTCAGGCCCTGAAGAACGAACCCATTCCAGAAAGACCAACTCAGGTAACCTGTCCCACCAAACAGATCACACACGACACAGCCGTGCAATCGAACCTCTTGTTAATTTTACATAGCATCTTACATTAATCTTACAGACACTGCAATTTAACCGTTTTTAAAGGAAATTAAAAACGAAATTAAAAATAGTAATTTAAAAATAGTCAATTAAAAAATTAATTAATTAATTAATTAATTATAAAATTAGGAAATTAAATTAATTATTATTATTAATTATTACTAATACTAAAAATAGTAATAGTATTACTATTTTTTGAAGAAAGTAATACTTTAATTTACTTTTTTTTTAATTTTATTTTTTGTTCAGATAAATAAATGCAATACTTTCTAACTTTCTATTTACCATAATCCTGAAATAAAAAATATTCCACAAAAATAGTAAGCAACACAAATGTTTTCAACATTGATGGTAATAAGAAATATTTCATGAGCACCAAGTCAGCAAATTTGAAGATTTCTGAAGGATCATGTGACTGAAGAAAATTTGAATCACTGATTTTAAATTGTGATAACATGTTCATTGTGGTAACATTGTTTTTACTATGTATTTTTTATTAAATAAAAGCAGCATTGGTGAGATAGTAAATGTATCTCACTATTTTTATTATTAATTCATTGTACACTTTGATGCATTTCAGATATTTTATGTGGTTTCCAGTTTCCTGTGTTTCAGTCTGTGCACTTGAAAGCCTAACGTGCTTTGAATAATCATAAACTCTTGTTAGGTAAAAGTGATATTCAGGTTGATGAAATTTAAGATGACACAACTGTCCTGTTTCCTCATCATCTGTCAATGTTCACAACGTCTCCTCTGAATGTTAGTTTAGCTTCAGGCTATCCTTCAAAATACAAATTTCTCCCACCGGAAATCATATCACATTGTGCCCCAAATGCCTGGCATCGAGCAAGGTTATTTAAACCGTAGTGGCGCCTCTCTTGTTTGGTCTTGTCTCCATAATGAGGGCTTTGTCAGACACCTTTTCCGTGCATTGCTTTACAAATTGATACACGCCATACCTGTGCACACCTCAGGGCAAAACTGTGTTCGTCTGCATGTCTCCTCACTCCTGTACCAGATCTCAATCCTCGAGGATGAGTATCATGCTCACACTAAATAACACACACACAATTCACACGTACTTGTGCGCACATCTTTTAAAAAAAATAAATAAATGTGTGTACATGCTTCCTCATTTACAATAATCCAGATTTATTGATATTAGAACGAGAATAGAAGAGAAGATTTTTGTGTGTACGCACATGTTTCCAATCTTTTCTGCTCATAAATAAGGACACTATCACAGTTATTGGACAATGAGTATCAGTGTAATATAGTTTTATCAACAGACTCTTATATAGATCATACAGCTTCTCAATAAGTAATATTTTTTATATTTCTACGTCTGTGGTCCTGACTAATTATTTGTTGTAAACTGATATTATGATTAATGTAAGATTTATATAATTATTGTACTGTAATTTATATTTAAGGCACATTTTGACAGGATGTAAGGTGTCTCTTAGGCCAAGGTCGGTTTACTTGGCGCCATGACCAAGTACTCCGATGTTTGGCTTTAGCATTGGAGGGCAAGCGTAACATGACCAATAAGTTGCCACCTTTTCTAGCAAAACATTAGACAATCACACAGAAAACAATATTCCTCCACCCAGGCGAGCAACCAACAAGAAAAGGTGTTAAAACCAATTCTCGCCCAGGACAACTGGAAGCTGTTAGGGACCGGAAGATGCTGGCTGATTTTGATCAACGGCTTATTTTCCACCTGAGATTGTCACCACTAACCTCCGACCAGATTTTGTTTTACTGTCTGGATCAAAACGCATTGTTCAGCTGATAGAGCTAACAGTGCCATGGGAGGATGCGGTAGATGAGGCATAAGAGAGGAAGAAACTGCGGTATGCTCATCTGGCCACTGAAGCAGAACAGCGAGGATGGAGAGTCCAGGTTTATGGGTTGTCGAGGATTTGTGGCACACTCTACAACCCGGTTCCTCAGAGACGTCGGATTCAATGGCCAAGAGTTGCGTCGCACAGTAAAGAACTTATCTGAAGCAGCAGAGATGATGTTGAGACGGAAAGATTCTGGCTGGCTGTGTACAGGCCGCCATGCTACGGTTTCACAGAATTCTTGATTCTAGTATTACAGTTATTACGTTCCTGTGTATATTGCGTAAATGAGGGTTGGTGTTTGGGCAGATATTGTTTTTTGCGGTAGGTAGTATGCCATACGGATCCGTTGCCACTGAACTTACTTTAACAAAGACAGTGGGGCTGGACAGCCTTAGTCAAACGGGTTGGTGCGTATGGTTGGGTTGCGGAGAGATTGTGAGATTGTGGTTAGGTCACATGTGAACTATGAGGAAGGAGCAACCTCAGCAGCAGGAGGAATGTAGAGGTCAGTAAGCTAGGCTGGGCTGAGTTGAGTTGGGGACGGAGAGGGGTGACTCTTGGACGCCAGAGTCACTGTCGAGCCTTCTTGAGGTGTCGTGGGCTAGTTGACGAAACATTGAGGATGGAAGGTGCCCACTTGAAGACCCTAGAGATGTCCCCTACTCAGCTCAATCCAGACGGCTGTCGTGCTGGTCCACTGAGGAGACCACACTGTAGTTACAGCCATCGTGTGTGCTGATGCGCCAAGTACACTGCAGCTGTTAACGCCGGACAGAAAGAGTGTCACATCACCATATGGAAAGAAGCGAAAATGGATGTAGAAGCATAGGTTACTGTAAAGCTACGTCTTATGCTACGTTCACACCGGACGCGAATAGCGCGTCAAATTCGCGTCTACCGTGTCTAGTTTGACACTTGACCACTTTGTGTTAATTCGCGCGTCAAGAGCGAAACTGACGCGGGTAAAATTTGTTTTCAAAAGTTGAAAAAGAAGGAAACCGGTTGACGGTCATCTTTGTTTATGTTGATCGAGCATTCATCGAGAGATTCACCGCACTGTATTTGCTCTGGAGAGCTAGAACAGCTGTGTTTTTTGTTTTGATGATGAATAGAGCCAGCTTCCAAAAGTAATTAACCTGTCCTGTGATTTTTTTTTTTTTCTCTCTCACGTCCAGACACGAACTTATGCACATATGTTGATTGTCTTTACATAATACTATTTCATATACAGTAATCTAGATATGGAATGAATAACATTCAATACAAAATGAACATGTCTCGTATATAGAAATAATGTTTTAACTTAAGTGATAAATATTTGCTTTGTTGTGCATTAGAACCACACCAGGCATTTAGTCATATTACAAAATAATTTATTGAAGCATCCAGACACTTCACCACGTGAGCAAGCAGTTAGGCTCCTGATTGGTTAAGGCGGCGCGAATTTACGGCAAAGTTCAGATTTTCCAACTCGGGCGGCAGACGCGAATTCGCGTCAAATGCGTGAATGCGCAAATGGCACTAACTAAGTCATTCGCACTTAACGCGCCAGACGCTCAATTCGTGCGAACGAGGCGTATTCGCGTCTTCCGCGCCGCGCTCCTCGCCTCATTCGCACCGCTGGAATTTTTTACGCACGTAACGCGTCTTTGCATTGACTTAACATTGAAATCATTCGCGCCTGACGTGCTATTCGCGTCCGGTGTGAACGTAGCATTAATTTGTGCTTATCTTGGCGAAAGCCAGGTACAAATCAGCATGAAGTTTTAACATCTGCTCTCATGTAATTTAACTCTTGTTGTAAATAGATATTATAATTATTATGATTAATATAAAAATTACATATTTTTTGTTTATTTACTGACATGCTGCAACTATGCAGGAATATTTTTTGTCCACATTTTTGAAAATGATACCATTATGTCAGTCTCCTTGTAAACTACAAAAATGCAAATTTGTGAAAACATTGACGTCATGTGTAGAGTTGGTTATAGTTTGAATCGTTTGACTTGATTGCTTAATCAATTCCAATTCTTATCAATTGCTAATTTCAGTTTCCAATAAGATAAAAAAAACAACAACTTGGATATCATTCACATTTATTCTAGGTCTTATTGCAAAACATTTATAGGATTTTCATTTAGGTACAGAAACTAATCAAATGTAAAATAACACTGCACTTTATAAATAAAATATACATTACAAATATAGTTTCAAAAGTTATTGAGTGAAGATCAGTGAGTGAATTTTTTCTTTGTCTTCTGTTGTTTGATTGTATAAAGACGCAGCAGGAATATTAGGCTGCTGTCACTTCAACAGCTGCATGGACTCAATATACTGTTATGCATTTTCTTTGCCAACTGTTTACTTTTACGAGAATATTCTGACATATTTTTGCATTTATTTGTGGAATAAAACTCCGTTTAGTATTGCACACTATACAGAATGAGAGGCCGCTTTCTGTGTGTGCGCTTTGGGTGCGTGTCCAGCACAGAAAACGTCGCTCGAGTCGTCTTGCGTTTGATTAGTTTAAAATCACATTAAAATAATTTTTTTCTCTACATGCGCTTTGGATGTGTGTGTGTCTTCTTGCACTTGAATGGTTTAAAGTCATAATAAACTGCACACAAATTAATCGATAAGAGGAATTTAAATTTAAATTTTATGACAAGTATCCTAATCCTGATCTTACGTATCCGATTCCAGAATTACAATTTATTTTCGATTCCCAACCGTAGTCATGTGCATGCTTATTACATTCAGTGTGTAGACGTGTAGTGTTGCTTTACAAAGTGACATCGCCAACTGCTGGCATGGCATGAAAAACAGCATTTTTAATCATGCAGATTCGGATCGTTTTGACAACATTGTTGTCTGTACGTGAAAAACTTTCCCGTTTTAGCTCATTGTTGCTGTGTAAACGGACCCTTAAATAAAGAACCCTTAATTTGAGTCAGTATTATATGTGTCTCAGCTGATTTTTATTGTCTAGTACACCATGTTTTCCATCCTCTCAACACGCTCATGAACTCGCAAAGCCAATTGTTTACCATGTGCTAACAGTCAACTGAGCTCATGCCAGAGTTGTCGAGGAAATAAACACCACCACGCTACAGTCAGCACAGCTCTGAATAGTTAGTAAACAGACATTGGGAAGCTCCTTAGTTTCGTTCAAGTCTGATTGAAGGTTTTCGTCCAATGGTTATCATGGGACATTGACCGCACACTGTAAGCAGGAAATCTCTCCGATGAAGAGATGCTGACAGAAATGTGGATTTGTAGGGGGTTTCAAAGAGAAGCGAATGATTAATCCATCATAGATGTTGATTTTCAATTTTCCCTATTTAGCAGAAGAACCTAAATGATGTTTGGAAGACATTTGTTTTATATCAAACACTAATGGTTTGTTATTTTAGTAAAAAAATTAATGAGGCTCAGCTTTATGGGTTCCAATGTTTTTGAAACATACGACATGTGTGCAAAATTAACTAATCTGTGTGTTAAATCAAAAATATGAGAATAATTTGCGCACCTAAAGGGTTCGGTTTGGGCCTACTTTTTTTCTTGTTTTTTTTTTCTTTTCTATGCTGTAAAATAGAAATAAATACTTCTACATCTATTGTCCTAATTTAATATCCATTATTAGCTGATAATATGACTAATAAATGAAAATAAATCTTGTTATACTCAACATTTTCCTACTACTTTTCTACTACTACTACTACTTTGTTGTGCAAATCTTTTACTACTTTTGTGTTTGATACATACAAAATTTAAATATGTAACTCCAAATCTTATAAAAAATACCATGACTGAGTTTGTAAACTGATATTTGTTTGATACTCTCTGCTGTAAGACTATTATAATACACAGCGCATTGATATAACACATCAAATGTAGCTTGTGACCTGTCAGATCAGTTGAAGGGCACACAAACAAGCCTTCACAGTCTGTAATACAAAGTCTCACACTCTCCAGACCACCTGATGTCTCTTCATCCCAGACGCCATTAACAGGCGTTTGAAGGAAACGAACAATGACATCATGCCGTGTGATCGCTATAAGGACGACAGTGAGAACACAGTATTAAATGTCTACGAAAAAGCACAACTTGATCGAGCGCTCTTAGATCACACACTCGTGTTCACGGATTACATGAGAACACACTCTTGATTCTGAAAAGAAATGTCAGTACTGTAATGGAGGTGACCAAGATAATATGCTGCAGGGATCATATTAAAAGTCACTCTTTGGAACTTTTGTGAGCGTACTATTGCAGCTCCTTTTATAGTTGATAAGATATAAATCGGAACTGCTTTTGGATCAGTTTGAAAGCTTTCTTCTCACAAAAACCAAGCCACTTTCTCCATAATCTCAACTGTTTAACAAAACCAGAAGCATCTATTTTCAGCAGTTACATGAGAAACTGCAGTCATGCGTTGAAGCAGACTCACCATCAGGTCTGAGATCATACAGCCTGTTCTTAAGATCTTCCTGGCAGGTCTTCATTCTGTTAGAGGGTGCAAAGTACTGTAGGTTTGAGGCTGAATTGAGGTCAGTGACAGAAATCGGTGTACCGTAATAAAGGGATTGTCGAGAAAAGGTAATCAAATCAAGGCGATGTAATGCATTGAGATTTGTGAGTTCTCTCAAAATTTAATAATAATAGTTGTTAAATGTTATAATGGTGCTTTAAGCTATTTTTTTTATTCACTAATGCAAAATGTGGTCACACTAGAATTAGAGCATGAAAAATTGCTCTGTGGTGTCTTTTTAAAAAAACAACATAAATTCAACATATAACAAATAATTAAAAATCCAGAATGCAAGAATGTAAAATCTACTCCACTTTCCTGCAGCTTTCAGCTTTAAAGTTTGTGTTTTCCTTTAATTCAGCCAAGATATCACGCTGTGACATATCGATCTTCTATTGGTCTCATATTCATGAATCCACAGGTCAGAGTTCACCAAACTTAAACTTAGTAAAGCAGCAAAACATAAAATTTCTTCACATGAACTTGAGTTTCCGGTCTCCAGCATTTAAATGCTTAAAGTGTGTGATTTAAATCAAAAAGTGTGTTGTTAGCTGCGCCTTTAGCTAAATTATTGTGAAGGCAGATTTCTACTACATACTAGTACAGATTTCTTGTTCAATAAATTATTTAATTCAAACATGCATATACATTTTCATTTAAGTTTGACCCAAATGTTTTGGAAATAACTCAAGAAAAGTTGTAATTTTGAAGAAATTGATGATATGTTAATTTTTTTTTCATTTGAGGGTGAAAAAGGATTTCTTTTGTATATATTTGATTTTAATTGTTATAATTGTCCTTTACTATATTCATAAAGGCAAATGGAATGGAAAAATACCCAATTTTGAACATTTTAAAAGTGATGTTAAACTATATTTAGAAACAATATCCAAAAGTAAAAACCTTTTTCTCTTTCTTTCTTTTACTCTTTTTTTCATGTATGGTAATATGTACTCTTGTATGTAAAATCTTATTAAAAATTAAATAAAATAAATAAATAAATTTAAATTTTACATACAATTTTACATTGTACTAACTTTTTAATCAAACATTAGGTAAAAAGACTTTCAAACAAACTTTTGATTTAAATAAAGCCAGCCAACAGAAAAATGGTAAACCTAAATGCATAATTGTTGAATAAGAATAGTTTAGACACATCTGTTACTACAACAATAGGGCGAATTGTGTTGGTCTAACGTGTTTTTCTGTCAAATCCAAGTAATATACTATTATCCATGACCCAAAAAGTCCTATGTTTTCTGTGAATGTGTGAGACTTATTTAGTCTCAGATATATTAGTCTCTATAGTTACATTACTAAGAAGAATAATGGTGTGCTGTAAACTGTAAAACTATTTGCATTACAAATCAACGTGTTAATGATTACAATAAGTTATCAATAATACTAAATTACACTAATAAATGTTTTAATACATTTTTACAATTATGATAACAGATACCAGAACTGTTTTTGTTCTGCTAAAATAACTGTAAGTGGATAATAAAGGAAGCCATGCAAATTCAAGTTACAAATGGTTGCAACTGCTTTTATGTTAAATGAATGTGGCTATACTGGATAAGATGTAACCGCAGTCATGTAGTTGGTCTGTTTTGTGTTTTACCCTTTCAGTGTTCAGAGGAGAAGAAAGAAACAGAGGAAAACAGCGATGCAAGTAAATCTGAGATCAGTCTGGTCTATGAGATCGCCCTGAAGAGGAACCTGCCTGTTAGTTTTGAGGTAAACTAAGCTAATTTAATTGAGAATATAAAGAAATGTAACACTCATCAGGAAATTTCAGCAACAATTTTCATAGCAAGGTTATTCCCAGCTCTAATGACCCTATTCAGCCCATTCACCTTTTTCTTAGTCTTTGTGCTCTAAAACAGTTGTACGCTTACAGTACCCCTTTTCTCAGCCAGACAGCTGAATATAACCTAAGTGTCATATGTTATTTCTAGTTCTTTGGAATCAAAGCCAATTAAGCTGAAAGTAATTCCAAAAGATAGTTAGTTTCCTGACCTCTAAGAAAACATCCTTATTGCAATTTAACCTGACTTGAAACATTCTTCGTATGCAGCAACTTCAAACGTATTAGCATTCCTGGCATTAAAGGGTTAGTTCACCCAAAAAATACATTTCTGTTACCGTCATGTCGTTCCAATTATGTATTTTTGGTGAAATCCGAGAGCTTTCTAACCCCCCCTGCAGTGTTATTGCCATTTTCAATGGCCAGAAAGGTAGTGAGGACACGTTAAAATCCACGTGACCACAGTCTTCAGGGCCCTTTATGCCCAATGGCGTGTGGGGCAGCAACAAACCCCAGGTGTGGTCCAGGGACTTCAGTTCTGCTTCCACTGTTTGACGCCAGGTGTTCTTGGGTCTTCCTCTCTTTCGTTTACCCTCTGGTGTCCAGAAGAGGGCAATCCAGGCTATTGTTCCCTCTGTATGACGTGTCCAATCCATCTCCTTCGCCTCCTCATGATGATGGTGTCCTTATTTTTTAGCTTGCACTGGGCAAATAGTTGTTGGTTAGAGATGGTTTTGGGCCAAAAGATTTGCAGAATTCTCCAGAAGTTCTTCGTGTGGAAGGCTGACAATTTAGGAAGGTTGTTCTTTGTCATTCTCTAACTTTCCTTCCTGCACAATTAGGTTGGAAAGGACGCAGCTCTGGTACTGCCTCATTTTATTGTGGATGCTACAGTATATTGTGTGGACCTCCACACATTGTTTAACATACTCAAGGGGTTTCTGGTTTTGCTGAGCCTGTTCTTGATGTCACTGCTGCTCCGTCGTGTCGTATGCTGCTGCCCAGGCAAATATACTCTTAAGTTGTGGTTCTACATGGACTGGTGAGGGGTTGGGGTGTTCATTGTCATCACCTCTGTTTTCTTCTTGCTGATCTCCAAGCCTACTTGCTGCGCATGGATGCTAAGATTATGTGCTAAGTTTTCTCCTGCATGTGCTGGTTGGGTATGTAAAAGCAGCGCCAAGTCAAGATCTTCAAGTTGAAGTTCTCTTTATTTATATGGCACATTTAAAATGGCCACTAGGCTGACCAAAGTGCTTACCAGAATAGCCATACACTCTCAGAAAAAAAAGGTACAAAAGCTGTCACTGGGGTTGTACCTTTTCAAAAGGTAAACTTTTGTCCATTTTAGGTGATAATATGTGCATTTTAGGTGCTAATTTGTACATTTCAGGTGCTAATCTGTACATTTTATATGCTAAAAAGTACATTTTAGGTGTTAATATGTACATTTAAGGTGCTAATATGTACATTTTAAGTGTTAATATGTACATTTTAGGAGCTAAAAATATATTTAGCTACTAATATGTTCATTTTAGGTGTTAATATGGACATTTTAGGTGTTAATATGGACATTTTAGGTGCTAATATGTACATTTCAGGTGCTAATATGTACCACTAAGGTACCAATATGCAGCCTTTGGGTACTAAAGTGTACCTTTTGAAAAGGTACAGCCCCAGTGACAGCTTTTGTACCTTTTTTTTTGAGAGTGTATTAAGAAAAATAACACTTGCATAACAACACACAAAACACAAATAAGAGCAGCAAAGCTAAGGGCAACCTTAAAACAGGTGTAACAAAACATGTGCAACACTGGAAGATGTTCCAGTGTTGAGAAGAGAGTCCATCTGATGCCTCTTGGTTGGTATTTGGTTGTCTGTTGCATCGCCCAGTCAATGGTCATGTTGAAGAGCATTGCTGACATTACTTTAAAACTGGGATTGCTGCTTCCTTGTTTGCATGTGTAGTTAGTGTGGAAACACTTGATAAGAAGAATGATCTGTTGTGGAATCCCATATCCATGGAGTATACGCCAAACGACTGTCCCTGTGGATGCTGTCAAAAGCTTTCTCAAAGTTGATATAATGTCTCTGCCACTCTGTGCTCTGTTCAATGATGATGTGCAGAAAGCTCTAAGATTTCATCATTGAATGAAGGTCTTAAGGGTTTGGAATGACATGAAGGTGTGTAATTAATAACATAAATTTCATTTTTGGGTGAACTAACACTTTAAGCACACAGGAGTCTCAATTCACAACGAATTCAAGTTGATTCTTGTTAACATGTTTCTAAGCTAACTGCTATACTCTTACAAGCATAAAAAATACACTGTACTCACAAATATTGGCTAAAAGTATTTTAATAAATAGAAATTTGTTTCTTTACTTTTTATTGCGAAATTGAATATTTCTCTGGTTCCGTCCACCATC